CCCAGGCCCCAAAAAAACCTTCCATATTAAATAGATGTTCACCTGCACATCCGCTAATGTGGTCTATTGTATCCGCTGTTCCCGATTTAGCCTCCTCTACATCAGGGAGACCCAAGTGGAGGCTCGGAGACTGCTTTGTGGAGCACCTGCGCTCGGTTCGCGACAAATGACAAACGACAACACCCCCCAGTCGTGAACCACTTCAACTCCCCCTCCCAGTCCCTTGACAACATGTCCATCCTGGGTCTCCTCCAGTGTCACAACAATGCCACCCGGAAACTGGAGGAACAGCACCTCATATTCTGCTTTGGAAGCCTACAACCCAATGGTCTCAATGTGGACTTTACTAGCTTCAAAATCTCCCCAACCCCGACCTCATCCCAAGACCAGCCCTCCCTCTCATCCCCGCCTCCTTGACCTGTCCGTCTTCTCTCCCACCTATCCGCTCCTCTATCCACCTGCTATCACCGTCCCCAACTTTCTCTATTGATTTCAGAACCCCCTTCCCCTCCCCCATTTCTGAAGAAGGGTCCCGACCCAAAACGTCAGCTTTCCTGCTCCTCTGATGCTGCCTGGACTGCTGTGTTCATCCAGCTCCACACCTTGTTATATCAGCAGAGAAACTAGTTTTGTGATCTGTTTCTATGATCACTTTCAGACCAAGGATATATTCTGAATATCTTTTGCATGCCCATATAACTAAAAGAGCCTCCTTCTCAACCATAGCTGATCATGTTGCTGTGTCTGATAATGATTGTGATGCTCAATAGACTAGATTGCAGCACCCATTCAGTTGCTTCTGGAGCAGTACTATTCTTAAACCTGTAGCTGAGCATCAGCTGCTATGATAGATGGAAAGGATAGATTTTAGCATGTTAAGACATCCATGGACATCAAGAACCTCCTTGATCCTCTGAAAAGCATTATGTTGATATGGGTTCCAATTCCATCCTTGTGTTTTCTTGAGGAATTGTCTCAAGGGTTCTGTAGTAGATTCCAGTGAGTCAAAAGTTTTGCTAACTGGATTTCCCATTCCTAAGATCCTCTAGTGATCCTTCACTGATTTTGGAATGGGGATGTGTGTAACGTCTTTAGTCTTCAAAGGATCCCCCATTATAATTTGTTGACAATGTGTCCCACGAACTGAAGAGTCCTTGGAGAATTCACATTTTTCATTAAGGGTGAGCCCTGATGCTTGTAAGTGCTTTAAGACTGCAAAAACTCTCTGACTCTGCTCCTTAACTGCTTTGCTATGTTATCCATGTAACAAATAACTGCGTGAAGACCCTGTAATACAGTGGATTCAATCTGTTGAGAAAACCTGAGGCCAAGACTGTCCAAAATTTTTTGGAACAACATCTCCCAAATGGAATTATCAATGTATTAAATAATCTTGCTTGCTCATCCAATGGCACCTGCCAGGATCCACCATTTGCCTTGAGTTTTGTGAAAACTCTATTTTTGGATTGTTTAACAAAATCCTTATCAACTGTAGAAATAGTGTGGACTTCCCTTGCCACCTCAATTTTGAGCTGTGTAAGGTCATCAGAAATTCAAACAGTACCATAAGGCTTGGGTACAGTAACCATGACTGATCACCACAATACTGTTTTCCTGACTGGGGAATTGATGTCTGTTCTTGTAATTATTGTAAGTTGCTTCTCAGTGTGCTTCCTTAAAGAATGGAGAATCTTCCCAGCTGTATTGAAACACAAGAGTTAACATCTTTCTTCATATTATGTTACATTCGGTATTCAGGTTCCTTAACCCATAATTCAGTTAAGGCTTCTAACATCACAATGGGTCCTTGAAGGTGTGGAATTTAAAAATTCTGAGACAGAGAGTGTAAGAACCCTGTACGGGGGCTTCCAGCATAATTTAACTCCCAGGAAGATCTGAGACAACATTGTCAGAGAAGAGAAAGGTTTGTTTCAGAAATGAACCACAGTTTTGCTGAAAGAGTGCAGGCAGTTTGCAAAATAATTGCAGCTGCTGAAATCTGACTTCAAGATTTTTTCAATCCCTTCAACTTTGGCAAGCAAGAAATGGGCTGCCAATGATAATGGACTGAACGGATTTAAAATTATTCATCAGGATCTACCTTTATTCTTCGTATCACTATTTTTCCTAATAAGTGTGTCACACTTTTACGACATACTGTTGCGAAGTTGGGTAGAATATTTGTGGATTGGGATGCAGGAAGTTAGAGTTTGGTGGAATGCTTTAGAAGATTGTGCTTTTTCTATGCTTACAGATTTAAACAAAATGTCTGTGAGCAGCTTGAAAGTTTGAAAGTACATAGAGAGCACCTGAATTGAAACATTTGTATCAAAAGGCCATACAGTTAGCAGGCCAAGCAGCAGTTTTGTCTTGTCATCAAGACAAGTTTTGAATTTAGCCAATGAATTTGAACCAAGCACTTAGATACCAAAAACCAATTAAATGTAAATCTGATGGTTTTGACAACATAGGACTGATCCTATTGTAAGAAATTGATGTGTCATCAAGGGTGTAAAAGAAAAGGGCAGTTGGACAAAGACAGGAAAGGGAACTGCCATCTGCCAGAGTTAACTGCTCTCAGCTCTCGAGAGAATCACCGGCTCTCACAGTCTTCTCTAAGTTTTCGAGAAAGCACCATCTAAATCAAAGGTACCTACAACACAACTAGTTCATATTCCTGATAGAAGAATTGATGGAGAAGGCATAGAGCATTCTGGAAGACACGTAACCTGGCTGTAATTTCGAGAGACTGAATTCTAATTTTCATTTATGTTTTATATAAGTGAGACACAAATTATTGAATTTATTGGAACAGCATACCATTAGAAACTTGTTTTATTCGGGAATATTTAGCAATTAGAAGGAGTTTATTCAGTTTGTTAATAGATTAGTTGATTTGTTCGCTGTTAGAGTTAGATAAATAAATTGTTACTTGTTGATTTTAAACTGAGTGTCCGGGATTTTTTTTAGTTAACTACTAGAAGTTGCTGAAAGGCAGGTTACACCACTTTTCACACTCCTTTTACAGATTACAGGGTGAGGTGCTCCTCTTTGGGTGTTTCAGTTTTAGTTCTCAGAGGGGGTCAACCTCCATTTTATAATAATAACTTCTGCAATAAACTACCCTTTGATCTTGTATATATTTAAAATTGGAATACTCAAAAATGCAATGAAATAAACTAAAATGCTGAAAGTTTCCACTTTCTGACTGGCATTCAATGATTGTGTCATATTACAAATGACTGTCATCAATACTTTGATCAGCTTAAAATCTATTTGCACGGGTTAGCAAGTTCCAGGGATAGTTGGAAAGTGGAAAGCTTCAGAAGAAGGTCTAGACCCGAAACGTCAGCTTTCCTGCTCCTCTGATGCTGCTTGACCCGCTGTGTTCATCCAGCTCTACACCTTGTTATCTCAGATTCTCCAGCATCGGCAGTTCCCACTATCTCTGAATCAAGTCAAATCTAACTCTTTTTCAGAAGAGTCATTGGACAGAATGTTAACTCTGTGTCTCCTTCCACAGATATTGCCAGACCTGCTGTTGCCTTTCCTGCACTTTCTATTTTTATTGTTGACTGGTTCAGTATGTAATGATTTAAAAGTTCTGCCAATTTCATACAAATTGTAGTATTCAATGTGCCTCATTTAGTTGGTTGAAGCTATCTAAACTTTATAACTATCTCCAGAACACAGTAAACCGCACAAATAGATGACTTTAAGCTCCTCAAAGTATTGACGACAGTCATTTGTAATATGACACAGTCATCGATGCCAGTCAGAAAATGGAAATTTTCAGCATTTTGGGTAATTTCATTCCATTTGTTGTACTGTCCACAACATAGTGCACAAATACATTGCTGCATTTGCAGTTGCTGTCCCCACCCCTTTTAGTGGTTGCATTACATGTTAACAATTACACTGTATGAGATCTATGTGCAAACAGTAAAAATTTATAGTTAAGTTAAACGACCTTTTCAAAGAATTTGGAAGTTCATGAATTAATTCAGGTATAAGATGCATGCACAGAGGATATATGTTCAAATTCAGAACAACAATGTTTGCTTTGTCAAGTTTTTAATATGAAATGCTAAGCATTGAGGATTTAATAATAACGCTAACTACATTCGAATATATTGCAAGGCACTTCCTGATTGTTGTGTCTCCTCGAAACAGTTTGCGTACCTGATACATTGTAAATGTCACCTTTATAACTGACCTCAGTGACGTTGAAATAGTTATCTTTAAAAGATATTTGGTGAGTGCTACAGACTGGAGTTGAAATTCCCAATGATCATATTTGTGTACTTCTATTAATTTCATTTAACATATAGCCTACTTATTTCTCTTCTTCACCTGCCACCATTTGGCAATCTATAGTTTACCTTTAACAGTGTCACCAATCCCTTCCTAACTTTTATTTCAAATCAAATGGATACTGCTCCTTTTATTTGTTAGTGTGACCTTTCTTACGATGGCCAGTATTTTTCTGATTAAGTTACCCCACAACCATTTGCTGTTTCCACATCTTTTCTAAATATATGATAGCCCACAAATACAACTGTTGATTCTTATCTGTAGCCATGTTTGTGATATCCTTATTAGATCTGCTTTCTCACTTCTAATTATGATCATCCACTATCTTGTTCTGTTACTAATGTTTTGTACATTGGTTGGCTAGCAATTTAATGTGCCCTTTTTTTCAATACTCCTGCTTGATTTTTTAAACAAATATATTGTTATTTCAATATAATCTTTCCTGTTCCTTAAGTAATTATGTTACCTTTATTTATGTTATTTTGCACTCTTAACAATTGTTATCAACATTTATTTTCTTTTTCTTATCTATTGGCTACTATTATTTCCACACAATCACTTAAATGTCAATAAGTTGTGAAAACTAAATTATTTACGTAATTTTAAAATATTGTGAACTATTCTCCGCCATTATTGAGCTTGAATTTAACAATAAAACTCTTCCTCGATTCAATTCCAGCTCTTACCAAAAAATAGACATTTTCTTTGTGAGGTTTGAATGATTTCTGCTGGTGGAACCCCAAATACCTTAAGAAATCAAAATACAAATCCAGTAAGGAGATAATCCAAAAATAAATATACAATTAAAAAAGGTGGACACCTGATTTTTTTCATACCTCCATGATGCAAGCCAATTGCTCCATTTCGTTTTCCCCAGGAAAGAGTGGGTAACCTGTGTAGAGCTCAGCTAAAATGCAGCCAAAGCTCCACATGTCAATTGCTAATCCATATTGGTGGCCAAGAATTACTTCAGGTGAGCGGTAGAATCTGCTCTGGATGTATGTATAAACTGTCGTACAAACATAATAGACTTTTAATAATACAATAAAAGAGTAACAAATAAGGTACACACCTGTAGGTTCAACCTATCATACCCCTTTGCAGACAACAAGGTGCAGAGCTGGATGAACACAGCAGGCCAAGCAGCATCATAGGAGCAGGAAGGCTGATGTTTCGGGCCTAGACCCTTTGCAGATTGCTGCAAACATGAGTCAGATCTTGTAATGACAACGTTGTGTTATGCCAAATCTTACCAAGGACACTGAATTCTGAGCATTGAGGGTGGCCTGGAAATTGGTAGAACAAAGGATGGGACAATGGACAGGCACAACCTCTATGGGATCTTACCACCCAGCAACAGTTTGCGGGGCATCCTGTGCAGAATTTGTCGGTAGAAAGATGTTGTCATCATTCTGCTTTCCATGACTGGGTCTAAGGGCCCATTCAGTTTATGGTGGTAAAGGAATAACCATTAGCAAGTCTTAACAAGGAGAGGTTGTTGTCTTAAATACGTGTTTCTAATAGCTACCGTGACATAAACTGCAATTTACATTAGTTAGTTAGATATTGGGCTGAATCTAAACATGTTGATTTGGCTAAAAGTGTCAGTTTCCCCAGCACATCCATGTTGAAATCGCTCTCACCAGCAGAACATTATGGGAGGTGGATTCAGTACTCATTGTTTTAGTAAGGATGGTGGGTGGGCCACCTAGGCTAGGTGCCCCTATCAGATGGGTTGCCCTCTAGGATTGGTGTGTGCTGCTAAAGCAGGCTTTCAATTATGGGGGGACATCAGTTGATAGCAGAAAAGTAATCAAATTAAAAGGCCCAAAGCCAGTAAGGCTGTTAAGACGGTGGAGAAACTCTGCAGGACTAGTGATGATTACCATTGCATCCTTTTATCCCCGCAACTTCTGTATTGGTGCCAGCGGCACTCAGTTCTAACAGCTTCCATTGAAATGACAGTCTTCTTATTTGGCAGAGAATCAGCCAGACAGTGGGAAGATAATGACATCATTGCAAAATGGCCCCAAAATGGGGCCTCATTTTCTTTGGTTAACTGCATTGCTCTGTGCAAAAGTCAATCAACTCTTCCCAACCAATCTTGGTAATGACTCTACCTCAGGTGTAAATGCACCAGGAGCTACCCTGAAATGATTTCCCTCTATTTTTCTTGACCCTCTGTGCTGATTCTCCAATCATATCATTACATGGCAGAGAAAATTCTTTGTTTTCTTTCGAAAGTGGAGCACAACAGAAAATGTATGGAGTGAAAATTATTTCATTTGCACAAACCTTTTTGATTCTCAAAGCAGCTTGATCCAAAATCAATCACTTTGATTAATCCTCGGCCTTTGGGGCAAAGTAATATGTTCTCCTGGCAACAAAGAATAAACAAATTATTGCATTACGTAATGTGTTTTCATAGTAAAGAATAATATACATTTGATTAGTTAGAAGGCCCCAATGTAGTTGACAAGTAATCACGAGCAACTAGTTACTGTATGAGAGTAGTATGTATCCTATATAAATGTTTCTTCAATGTTCTGTTGTCAAAACTTTTTTTTTGTCAAATAGTCAAAATGTTCTATACTGCCTGTACGTGACAGGGTTAATAGATGGGAAGATGGGGTTGTAATAACCATGAGGACTGGGCTGAGGATAACTCCTGCTCCTGCTGAAAGGAGGGGAAAGGTGAATATACGGAACAAGGACGGATATCCACCTACATATTGTCGTTGGAACATGGAATTCACAAGGGCTGCACATCTTCCTAAATGCTTTTTGAGACATCATAGACAGCATGTAACATTTTGTTATATGTACACTTTGCCTAGCCACTTGGTATAAGAAAATGCTGGTTAGCAATAACTAGGTAGAATTAGCTATCAAGCTACCACCAATTCTACTGAATGCTTAATATCACATTTACCCATTCTGCTGCCTCCTTTGATATACTTTTCATTGCTGTCTTCACAGAGGACATCTTGGTGTGTTAAACAGAGTGTTTCCTCAAGGAGCAGTTCCATTCTCTACTGTGAAGTGCAGAATCATTATTCCTTTGGGAATATTTCCAGGCTTCTGGCTAGAGTAATCCTTTTAAAGCTGTAGCAACACTGGAAATTCTGCCTGTATTAAGTGAACTCCCAGCCTAAGATTCAGTTCTGATTTAGAATGTGACAGCATCTGTAACTAGCACCAACTCTGGGGAAACCAGTGGAGTCAGTTATAAAATGTTTGTGCAAAACTTCTGCTACCACTTGAAAAGTACTGCAGAACATCAGCTGTCAGATAATTTTATCTCATTGCCACTAGATGGCAGCCCAGCACAGATGTATTTTATTTCTATGAATGGAAGTCTGCACACACAATGTGTTATCTCTGATAAAGCCATTGTTCACATTGTTCACGTTTTGATAAGCAATACGGAGCAAACTCACGCTGCATTTTGTTCTTGATCAAAATATTATTGAAAAACTATCTTTGCAGCATTCAATTTAGATAGTTAAAAACAATTTACAGAAACATTTTGCAAATAATGACAAATTGAATCAACACAAGACGTTGTTTCCAAATGTAACAATAGAGACATCAACGAAGTGCTACATAAAATTGTTCTGTGCTCTTTTGGGCCCTCTTATGGCTAAATGGCAATGTCCCTACCCCGGGACCAGGATGTGCAGGTTCAAGTCCCACCTACTCCAGAGGTGTGTAATAATATCTCTGAACAGGTCAACTAGAAAAATAGGTTAACAAAAAAAAGTCTGTGAGCTCATTCATGTTGCAAGTGCAGTCTATAATGGTGTCAGTATATTACAAAGTTACAAAGAATTTATAGATCAGAAACAGGGCATTTTATTGAACAGGTCAATGCTGGTATTTATACCCCATACAGGCCTTCTCCCATCCTCTCTTTATTTAATCCCATCAATATTATCCTTTTATTCGTTTTTCCTTCATCAGCTTATACAGCTTCCCCTCAACTGCATCTATGCTCTTCACTCTAACCATCCATTGTGGTGGCGACTTCACAATCTATCCACCTTCTGGTAAAGAAATCTCCCCTGAATTGTCTATTGCATTTATTAATGATTGTCATATTTAACCTAGTTCTGATCTTGCTCACATGTGGAAATTTATTTTTACCTACTCAATTAAAGCCTTATATAATTTGGTTTTTTAAAAAAATCAGATCACCACCCAGTATTCTCTTAAAAGAAATGATTTCCAGACAGTTTAAACTTTTCTGATACATATAAACTCTCACTTCAAGTATCATTATAGTAGATCATTTTTATCCTTTCTGAGTGGTACAACATGGAACACCACTTCCCATCATTTAGTAATTTGAGCATCTACCCTTTATCCTTAGCTTAGTATTCAGTCAGCTACTTGACCCCTAATTCCCATGTTCTGAATTAACCATGATGCTACTGATTTTTGTCCAACACACTCAGAGCATCTAAGAGAGAAATATGCATTAGTTTTGCTATCTGAAACCTCTAATTTACTTTGGTTTAATATTTTGATTAATTTCTGTTCTATTGGGAAATTATCTATTATTTTGAAATTTGACAGGTAGTAAACAGACTATGACATCACATATCAGATGTGTATTTAAACGTGAAGTTCAGGGCCGTGATTAGTTTTTATGGGAATACACTACCGATTTTCACAAGATAAATGGTTTACACTGTACTGCCCAGTGCAGTAGAATTGGTGATATTAATTACACATAAAGCTGCAACATATTTCTATTACTTACAGGTTTCAGGTCACAGTGAATTATTTTTTCTTTAAAGAGCATTTGTAAACTCTTTAGTAAAGTGTGTGCAAATCGGCAAATAAGAGATATAGTAAAACCTTGGAAGTTGTTCCTCTGGATAAGTTCGTACAGATTCATTCTGTGGAAAAAGTAGATTCAATTATCATCTCACATCCTTCATGTATTTAAGGGTGATTTTATTTGATTTTATGAATGCTCACAACTGGGAAGTCCTCATAGTCGGAGCACACATGATTGTTTGATTTATTTATTGTCATTGGGAAATTGTGCACATGCTGCCCATGCTTTTCAGTTGGTATCATTGAAAACTATCATTCGTCGTCCACATGCAATGTCCTGGCAGGTCAGTAGCGACAGCACAGCACGTTAAATTTATCCTAGCAGAAGACGCTGAATATTCAATCAATTCTTAACCACAAAGTAACTATTTAACAAAGAAAAGAGATGACAGCATAGTTCAGTTCTTGCATGTATATCTTTGGCTGCAGCACTCCAGGCATATCCAGAATAAGTGACTTTGGTGGGGAGTCTCACCCACTGGCATAACATGTACTGAGATCCTGAGTGGCTGACCTGCAATTTCTCATAATACAAGGTTTGTGGTTGATGTTTACTATTCTTAACAAATATGCATAAAATTAAGTTTTAAGCATACTTTTTAGATGGCATAAATGGATTAGAATGTTTACCATGACAGTTGTCATATTAATCTTCAAGTTTTTAGCCAAGCTCTTTGAACCCAACAAGTTCACAATGAGTACACTGGTAATCTCTCAACGTATTGATAGTCTATTTTATTAATCTGCTAGAGTACAAATGATAACAGTTTAAGACATCAGCTTCCTGAGCAGAGGTCCATCAGGCTGGATCAATTAACACCATTTGTGAAATATGCACAAGATCATAAGAATTAGGAACAGAAGTAGGCCATTCAAATCTTTTGAGCCTGCTCTCTCATTCAGTAAGATCATCACTGATCTGACTTTGACCTCAGCTATACTTTCCTGTCCATACCCCTGTGATCCTTGACTCTGTCGATCAAAAATCTATCTAACTCAACCTTGAATATAATCAATGACCTAGCATCAATTGCTCTTTGTGCAAGAGAACTCCACAGACTAATGAACCTCTGAGAGGGAAAAATTCTCTTTCCCTCGCTCATCCTTAAATGGGAGGCTCCTAAATATAAAGCTGTGTCCCCACCTTCTGGCCTCCCACTTAAGAGATAATATCATTGCAGCCTGTCACATCCCCACAGGATCTTGTACATTCCAATAAGATCATGACTCATTCTTCTAAATGTCTACAGGTATAGGCCCAATCTATTCAACCTTTCTTTATAAAATAAGCCCTTCATCTGAGGAATCAATTGTGTGAATCTTGTCTGAACTACCAATTATATCCTTTCTCAAGGTCACTAAAACTACGCAGAGTACTCCAGATTAAGTCTAACTGAGGCCTTATACAGCTGTGGCACTATTTCTCTACTTATATACTCAATACCCCTCACAAAAATGCCAACATTTCATTTACTCATGCTGCACCCGCACACTAGTTTTTAGAATTGCATACACCAGGACACCCAAATCTCTTTGCACTGTAGACATTTGCAGTTTCCCTCCATTCAAATAATATACTGTTTTTCTATTCTTCCTGCCAAAGTGGACAAGTTCATATTTTTCCCTCATTATACTCCAACTACCAAATTTTTGCCCACTTACCTGATCTTTTCTTAATCACTTTGTAGGCTCTTCATGTCCTCTTGACAACTTACTTTCCTGTCTGCATGTCATTAGCAAATGTAGCAACCATACATTTGATCCAATCATCCAAATCATTGTTATAAATTGTAAATAATTTGGGCCCCAGATATGATCCCTGTGGCACTCCACTAATTAATGCTTGCCAGCATGAAAATGATCCATTTATCTCTATTCTGTACTTCCTGTTAGTTAACCAATCCTTTCTCCATATGCACTCCTCTTTAACATGAGCTGTTATTTTATGTGGAATATGTAGGAACTTTTTGTGTGATACGTGAAACATTTTTTTGATCCAGTCCTACTCGGTTCCCCACCTTCACTTCTTTTCCTGATACATTGGTGACTGTATTCTGACATCTTCTGTTCTTGCCAATGAATGGAAAATTTCATCAACTTTTCTTCTAATTTAAATCTTCTCAGTTTCAAATAGACTGACTGTGCTCTTCCTTTTTTGACTATGTCTCTGTTCCTGGGCAGAGACAATGATGTTGGCATTGGGTAAGACAGCCTAAACCATTCTTTACAAATCTAATTTTGTTTTGTGATTAACATTTAACTGAGATCTACAGTTTAAATTCTAAAGTTGCCTGCCTTTGTAAGGGTTTTAACAAGGTTTCTAATGGAAGTACAACTGGGCTTAGTTAACAAAAGAAAAAGCAGAAAATGGTTCATCTGTAACTGGATCCTTTGAATCAAGAATATATTTAACTAGCCAAATTAGTGTAACTTAGTACTTGGATATAATTTTTGAAAAAGTGCTGGGATGGAAGAGAAAGAGGTACCATATCTTTGTTTTTGTTTTTTATTTAACTTCTTCTGCCTCCAGGAATTGGTTCGTACAAGAGAATTGATTGCTACAAGAGAAGTTAGTTATTTGATGAGTATTTAGTAAGTAATAACATTTATTCTCTTCCTAAGATACAAAATAATTCAGCAACTGACGGCAAGATTATCAAAATATATAAAAGTAATGTTATGATCCCAGCTGATTGCAATATTGGACAAGTCCCAGCTGACCTGGCTTGATAGCTCAAATGTTTAACATTTGCACTTGGTTACTGTGGTGGCTAGTCACTGAAACATATTCACATGAGACACCTATAGCTTTTTGCTATTTTGTGAAATAAGGTTATTTCACAAAATTAGAAAAAGCTATACATGTATATAACTTAAACACAAACAGTAAAATAAAGTTTCAACCTGTTCCCAAACACAATCCTTTTACAAATATTCAATTCTAGAGAAATTTAATTCCTATCTCAAATCTAGGTTTTTACTCAACTAACTCCTGCCAGCTTTGTTTCCTTAAACTGTGAAGATAGTTTTATAATTCTCTTCGAAGTCGGCTGGCACGAACCTTTCACAATAGCGATGACCTAATTTTTTCAGTTCTAACAAGTTGGCTGGGGAACTCCACAAACTCAAGAACTTCAACTAGAATGACTGGTTGTTTTGAACTAAAACTTTGATTCTCCTGCTAGGACAAACTGCTCTCTCTTCTGAACTGAATTCTTCATTTTACTGAACTGAGGCCATGAACCTTATTTTGTGAAGTGAAAAATCTAATTGGTGTTGAGCAAATCAACAAGTGAGATGGTGGACTGAAGACTGGTGTGGGGAAAATGGATTCCAGTTCAGGGGACACTGGTAGCAGACATAAGGAAAGTGGGAAATGTACTGATGGGATGGTCTCCACCTGTGCGAACACCAGTGTTCTTGCAAGCTCCATAACTAGGGAAGTAGAGAGAACTTTAAACTAAAAAGTAGTGGAAAGCAATCAAAGTTGGTTAGATGTGATTAGACTAACTGTTGGTCAGACCAGAGGCCTGGCCTGCTGTGTTCCTCCAGCTCCACACTGTGTTATCTCAGACTCCAGCATCGGCAGTTCTTACTATCCCTGAATTTAAAGAAAGCTAACTTTAATGGTATGAGGCATGCATTGGCTAGGACAAGCTGACCAAGGATACTTAAGGGGTTGATGGTGGATAGGCAATGGCAGACATTTAAAGAACACATGAATGAACTTCAACAATTGTACATCGCTGTTTGGTGTAAGAGTAGAACAGGGCAGGTGGCTTAACCATGGCTAACAAGGGAAATCAGGGACAGTGTTAAAGCCAAAGGGGAGGCATAGAAATTAGCCAGAAAAAGCAGCAAACCTGAGGACTGGCAGAAATTTAAAATTCAGCAGAGGAGGATAAAGTTTATTCGGAAGGGGAAAATAGGATATGAAAGTAAGCTTGTGGAAAACATAAAAACTGACTGCAAAACCTTCTATAGATATGTGAAGAGAAAAAGATTGGTGAAGGCAAATGTAGGTCCTTTACAGTTAGAATCAGGTGAATTCATTATGGACAACAAAGAGATGGTAGACCAGCTGAACAAATACTTTGGATCTATCTTCACTGGGGAGGACACAAATAACCTTCCAGAAATTCTAAGGGACAGAGGGTCACGCATGAAGGAGAAACTGAAAGAAATCCTCATTAGTCAGGAAATGGTACTGGGGAAATTGATGGGATTAAATCCCGATAAGTCCCCAGGGCCTGGTGCTCTGCATCCAGAGTACTTAAGGAAGTAGCCCTAGAAACAGAGGATGCATTGGTGATCATTTTCCAGTATTCTATAGTCTCTGGAAGAGTTCCAACTGATGGAGGGTAGCTAATATAACCCCACTTTTTTAAAAAAGAGAGAGAGAAAATGGGGAATTATAGGCCAGTTAGCCTGACATCAGTGGTGGGGAAAGTGCTGGAGTCAATTATTAAGGATGTAATACCTGAGCATTTGGAAAGTGGTGACAGAGTCGGTCCAAATCAGCATGGATTCACTAAAGGGAAATCATGCTTGACACATCTTCTGGAGTTTTTTGAGGATGTGACCAGTAGAGAGGACAAGGGTGAATCAGTAGATGTTGTGTATCTGGACTTTCAAAAGGCTTTTGACAAGGTCCCACACAAGAAAAAAAGTAAGCAAAAAGTAAAATCCATGGTATCGGAGGTAATGTACAAAAGTGGATAGAGAACTAGTTGGCAGGCAGGAAGCAGAGAGCTGGAATAAATGGGTCCCTTTCAGAGTAGCAGGCGATGACGAATGTAGTACCACAGGGTTCAGTGCTGGCATATGCAATTTAATGTGGATAAATGTGAGGCTTCGGTGGTAAAAATAGGAAGGAAAATTATTACCTGAATGGTGGCAGTTTAGGAAAAGGTGGGGTGCAATGAGACCTAAGTGTCATTTTAGAAGGTTAGCATGCAGGTGTTGCAGGCAGTGAGGAAAGCTAATGGCATGCTGGCCTTTATAGTGAGAAGCTTTGAGTGTCAGAGTAAGGATGTCTTGCTGCAGTTATACAGGGCGT